TTTGGCATTTTAATTTCTGTGTGTCTTGATGTGGGCCTGTTTGGGTTCTTCTTACTTGGGGCTCTCTGTGCTTCTTGAACTTGTATACCTTTTTCCTTTACTAAGTTAGGGAAGTTTTTTGTCACTATTTCTTCAAATATATCCTTTAACCCTTGTTCATTTTCTTCTTCTGGGGCTCCTATTATGCAGATGTTGTTACCTTTTATATTGTCCCACAGTTCTCTTAGGCTGTCTTCCTGTTTTTTAATTGTTCTTTTCGGTTTTCTGATTGTGTGATTTTTTTTCTACCCTATCTTCTTTTTTTTTTTTCTTTTTAATATTTTTTTCTTTATTGATTTTAGGGAGAAAGGAAGAGAGAGGGAGAGAGAGATAGAAACATCAATGAGAGAGAACATTGATTGGCTACCTCTTGCATGCCCCCCACTGGGGATTGGGCCCACAACCTGGGCATGTACCCTGACCAGGAATCAAACCAACATCTTCTTGGTGCATGGGTCGATGCTCAATCACTGAGCCACTGGGCTACCCTGTCTTCTAATTCACTGATCCGATCCTCGGCCTCCTCTACTTTGTTGGTTATTTCTTCCATTGTGTTCATTTCTGTTATGTCCCTCTTCATTTCCAATTGGTTGGTTTTCAATGCTTTTATATATTTACTCATGCTGTTGAGCTTCCTCCTGATTATTACTCTGAAGTCTCCCTCTGATATCTTGTTCAATTCCCTTTCATTTATTCTATCTTCTGTCAATTATCTTGTTCTTTCATTTGGGATTTGTTTCTTTATTTTACTATTTTGGCTATCTCAGTGGGTTTTGGAACCTGCCAAATTTTCCCTGTGGGTGTTGGTGTTCCACTGTTTGTGACTCCCTCTACTGGGTTTGAATAAGTGTGAGAGGACCCCGTTAAATGCCACTGTGAAGTCTTACTTTCCTGGGTAGATTTTCAAGCCCAGGAAAACTTCCTTTAGCTTTTTGCCTGGAGGCTATTGGTCTTAGTTACTTGATGAGCCTTGGGTTGTAGCCCTTAGCTGAGTGAAAAAATTTTTAGCTGTTCAGGGTAAGCGGATTTCCAGCAGGTGGGCAGATGCTTGCTGGCTGTTAATGAGCCTCAATTTGCATTTCTCTGGCCTGTCTGGTTGATGTTAAATTCCTGAGGGTGGAGCTGTTGATTTTTCTCTGGGCTCTGGGAAAGGGCTCTTTGAGCCATATGACTACTGTTCTGTGAGGAAGTGATTCAACAAAAAACTCCCAGTGCCATCCCTGCTCTCTAAGCTCCCAAGTCTCCACACAGTTCCAGTCTAGTCTTCCCTCCCTCTGCCAGAGCCCAAGGTGAGTGGCTGTAGCTAATTTAGTGCTCTGTCCCGGCACTCTGCACTGTGGAGCTGGCTTGGGATTTTAATCCCAAGGGAGCTGCTCACAGCTAAAACAGTTGCTGTCCATAGGCTTCCAGCCTGCCTTCTTACACCTCCGCAGTTTCTACCAGGCTCATGGTTATGTGGGTCCTCTCCAGCTGCTTTTCTGTTGTTTTTTTCCTAATGATTTGTCTTTTTTTTAGTTGTAATTCCAGTTTGGTCCTGGGAGATCTGTGTGGCTTCCATTCATTCCGTTGCCATTTTTGGAATCTTCTCTGTCCTTCTGTTTTTTAATTGTTTTTTCTATTTGGTTATCTGTTTGAGTGATTTTTTTTCTACCCTGTCTTCTAATTCACTGATTCAATCCTTAGCTTCCTTTAATCTGCTGGTTATTCTTTCCAACATGTTCTTTATTGCTACTATGTCATTCTTCATTTCCGCTTGGTTGTTTTTCATTTCCAAATGATTGATTTTCATTGTTTCTATATTTTTATTCATGCTTTTGAGTTTCTTGATAAACATTACTCTGTACCCTACATCTAATAACTTGCTTAATGCCATTTCATTTAGCCTTTCTTCTGTAGACTTTTCTTGTTCTTTCATTTGGGATTTGTTTTTTTTGTTTCACCATTTTGACTGTCTCAGCAGGATCTGGAGTCTGTCAAATTTTCCCTGTGAGTGTTTATGTTCCACTGATTGTGGCTTCCTGTGCTGGGTTTGGATGAATATGAAAGGGACCATGCTGAACACCAATGTCAAGTCTTACTTTTCTGGGTAGAGTTTCAGGCCAAGTAAAGATTCAGTTATCCCAGAGATTCAGTTTTGCCTACAAGCTGACTATTAGTCTCAGTTACTTAATGAGCCTCAGGTTGCAGCCCTCAACTGAATGAAAAATTCCACAGGTGGGCAGGGTAAGAGGATTTCCAGTGGGTGGAACAATTGCTTTCCCCTGTGGAAAAGTTGCCTTGGAAAGAAAATGGTTTTTGCAGTGTGGATTAATGACCCAGTGCTGGGACCCAGGCCTCAGCCTTCCCAGCTCAGTCCCCAGAGCCATGGCACCCAACCCTGAGAGCCAGGTCCAAGGCTCAAAGCTTTCAGTATCTTGTCTCTGTCTAGTGGCTTTCTAGTAGTCTCTGTCTGTTAATGAGCCTCAAGTTGCACTTCCCCAAGTGTGTGCTGTTAAATTTTTGAGGAAAGGGCAGTTGCTTCTCCCTCATGCTAAAGCCACTCTGATCGGAAGGAGCTTCTTGACAGAAATGGCTACTGAAGCATGGGGGAGTGACTTAGCATAGGAACCCAGCCTTCACAGCCCCATCCCCAGAGCCACAACACCCAGCTCTGAGAGCCAAGTCCAATGCTCAAAGCCTTCAGAGGCTCCTCTCTGTCTATGGACTGGCAGGTTGTCTCTGGCTGTTAATGAGCCTCAGGTTGTACTTCTTCAGCCCAGGTGGTGGTAAATTCCCAAGGGATGGGCAGTTGCTTCTCCCCCAGGCTAAAGCTATTCTGATGGGGAATGGCTTCTTGAGGAAGATGGCTACTGTCTTGGGGGGAAGTGACTCAGCATAGAGCTCCTGATGGCCTTCTTCCCAGCTCTCTTCACAGTGCTACAAACCCCTGACTGTCCTCACACAGTTTCTGTCCAGTCTGCCCTCCCTCTGCTGGAGTCCAAGGTGAGTGGCTGTGGTTGTAATTTAGTGCACTGGCCCTTCATGGAATTTCTGGTATTCCCAGCACCTCTCCCTGACAGACAGAACCTCCGCTCTGGTGATTTTCTCAGCCAGGTATTACCATGGGTACCTTTCGTTATTCCACTGCTCTGTGCTGGGGAGCCATCTTGGGGTTTAAACCCCCAACTTCTCAGAGGGAGCTTCTTGCAGCTAAAATAGCCCTCAGCTGCTGCCTGTGGGAACCCAGCCAGCCCTCTCTGCTTCTGCACTTCCTCCCAGTCTTGATTTGGGGTCCCTTTTACGTCCCTGGTTATAAGGGTTCTCTCCGGCAGCTCTTCATTTGGTTTTTCCAGTGATTTGTCTTTATTTTAGTTGTAATTCTAGTTTGGTCCTAGGAGATGGTCAGTTTAGCTCCCATTCACTCCATTGCCACTTTCCCTCCTCTGGAACTAACATTTTAAAATATGTCAGAATAGTTCTTACAAGGAATGAAGGATTTAGCCAGTGACAGGTTTTGTTTGTTTGTTTGTTTTGCTTTTAAAAGCTTTAGGCAGACAGAAGAGAACTAGCCAAGGTGGGGAAAGACTGATATGTTGGAGAAATAGTAAGAAGAGCAGGGTTTTGAGAAGAGTGGTGTGATTGACATGCATTTCACAAATATTTTGTAAATAGATTCTATGAATACAAGTGTAGAAGCAGGGAATTAATTAGGATGCTGTTACAAGTATTCATGAGATAATGGCCACTCAAACCAGAGTAGTGTCAGTGGACACAGTGAGAGTTGTGACATTCTAGATATGGTATGATGGAAGAGCCAAAAGGTTTTCCAATTTATTGGGTGTTGGGTATGAAAGAAAGTGAGGTGTTCAGAATGACACCTGGTTTTTTGGCAGGTTGCACTGAGATGGAGAAGGCTTTGAGTGAATCAGTTTAGTGAGACAAGGTTGTGCCCTAAAAGGCTCACTCATGAGTGAGAAATATAATTAAATAACTAATGTAATTGCCCTGGTCAATCTGGCTCAGCAGTGAAGCATCGGCCGCGGACCAATGAGTTGCAGATTCGATTCCGGTCAGGGGCAGGTACCTCGGTTGCGGTTTGGTCCCCAGCCCTGGTCGGGGTCATGCGGGAGGCAGCCAGTTGATGTGTCTCTCTCACGTCGAAGTTTCTCTGTCTCTCTCTGTCCCGCTCTGTCTGAAAATAAATGGAAAAATATCCTCGGCTAAGGATTTAAAAAAATATAACTAAGGTGATCAATGAACTGAACCAATGTGCTAAGAACTTTTTGTAGCAGTTCTGGGGTATAGCAGAGGAGAAAAAAGTATCATTTCAATTTGTGATGCATGAACAGATAGCGATGTTTTAATTAATTGAAGGATAAATTGGGCCTCATATCTCATTTGATTAGTTCATGACTCAATTATGTTATTTTTCTTTTATATAGAAAACCATAATGATATTTTGAATTTCAATGTGCTAGTGCTTCAGGGAAATGGTGTGTGTGTATAATATTTGCTATTTTGTGTCATTTGAGATGAAGCTCTAATGATGTCATGACTATTTTTAACACTAACCAAGCCCTTTTAATATGTAATGCTAGAAATATTTAATTAAAGCCTATTTGTAGAAATATATAGTAAAAAAACCCCATAGATTTAAGTATGCAAACTTATTGAGGCAAAGACTTATCACCTGGGTGTTCCCAGATCTCATTGGTGGTGTTCTAGTTTATAGACTTTTCCCTTTCACCAGGCCAGCTGCTGTGCCCTGTGCTTGTCTGTGCTCTTACAGCAATTAAACGCAGCCATTTGTCTACAGTACTTCGTCTTACTCTTTTGGTGTCAAGTGAAAGAATGGAATCATGATTTTATACCTTTACTGAAGCTGAGTCATAAGTGATCTGGTTGTAAGTCCTCACATTTCATTTCCCACACCTCTAAATACAAACAATTGTAAACTTAGACCAATTTTATTTACTTTTCAGACCACGTGGATGAGAGAACAGTATGCAATGGAATTGCCCCTGAAAAAGATGTGGATGGATTTCATATTATCAATATTGGAAGACTTTGCCTTGATCAGCATTCTCTCATACCTGCCACTGCCAGTGCTGTTTGGGAAATAATCAAAAGAACAGGTTGGTAACTTGTGGTCTATAGGACGTGGGTGCCAAGTGCCAAACCGGGACTTGTGCATTGCCTTGATGGAACCACCTCAGTCCCACTGAGTGAAACAAAATGATAAGTCATAAAACTTCATTCTGTAGAAAGACATACAGTTCTGTAAGCCAAGGAATAATCCAAAATAAACAAAACTGGAGTTATAGGTAACTGCTCTTGCATCTTGTAGGGAGTGAATTTTCTCATAGTAGGTTTGCCTCCCTATTTTAAAACTGAAAACAATGTATTTTGCTGTACATTTTCTAAAATGTATTATGTTTGTCCTAACCTTTAAAAACAGAATGTGTAGCCTTGGCAGGTGTGGCTCAGTTGGTTGAGCATCATCTCTTGCACCAAAGGTTGCCAGTTTCCCGGTCAGGGCACATGCCGAGGTTGCGGGCTCAATACCCAGTATGGGGTGTGCAGGAGGCAGCCGATTGATGTTTCTCTCTCTCTTTCCCTCTCCCTTCCTCTCTCTCTAAAATCAGTAAAAACGTATTGAAAAAAAAAATAAATACATAAATAAAAACAGAATGTGCTGAACATATCTGAATCATCTCTAATGACCTAGGTTTTTATTACAAACATTTGTCCTTGAACTGTGCTCTGCAGACCATATGTAAAGCTCTCACAGGTAGGTAGAGAGGTTTGCCTCTGCAGTAATTGATCCATATTGCTTTTTATGTCAGTGATTCTCCTGCATCCACCACTGACAGCATCTTCTTTCTAATCTGCTGTTTTCGAAATGAAAGAGAGAATTTCCAAAGGAAAGCAGATCCTAGAATTATGCTCTTAGAACATTAGTATTTATGAAGAAAAACCTTAATTCTAACTTCTTCCTTTTACTTACGAAGAAACTATGCCCCAAAGAAGCAAAGAATGTTAAATCTGCAAGTTTTATCTTCCATATCTTTTTAAGTCCCTAAGTTTAATGCTTCTTTCCTATGGAGTAAAGTGCATGGGCTTTGTGGAAAATACTTTTTCCTCTATTTTATTTTGTTCCGATTGTGTCCCAAGTGTGATTGCCAATTAAACTTGACATTGTTGTATTTTACTTACTTTGTAATTAACAGTTAATATATTTTAAGTCTCTGTACTTTTAACTCTTCATGAGAATCTCAATACTTAAAACTAATTTAATGGCAACTTGAGAATATTTGTGATTTTTTTTCACGAACACTTAATCAGAGAGGAAGTGACAAGTCCAAGAGGTCAAAAAAAAAAAAAAAAATGACTGTGGACACACTAAAGACAAGCCGCACAATAATCAAACTTAAATTAGAAATTTTTAAAGAACGTGTCAGTTGGCTATTCAAATGTTTATTTGCTTCTTGTTGTTGATTGTTTACATCAAACTCTGTGTTTTAAGGAATTGAAACATTTGGGAAAAATGTGGTTGTGGCTGGAAGATCCAAGAATGTAGGGATGCCCATTGCCATGCTTTTACACACCGATGGAGAACACGAGCGGCCGGGAGGTAGGCGGGGCCTTGGAGAGTCTTTATACCTGTACAATTTATTTTACTTCTTAAAATCATAAAGTCTAGATATTTGAAATTGTGACAGTGTATTTGTAGGTTTATGCAAATAAGGGTTTCTGTTATTCCTCATCTACTATCATGAGCACTTTGAAAGTGAATAAGGAATTACTGGAAATATGTGGCCTCTTTGTTCCTATCTTTTTCTTTGGGCTATATATGCTTTCTTCAGATCATTAACATATAGACATTAAGAAAAGTGGGAATCCAGTAGCTACATAAAATCACATAATAGACATCTACATGTTCACACACACACAGGCACACACACACCACCAATGTGTAGATGTATAGATTTCTAATGATCAACCCTGGTGAAGTTCAGTTTTCTGACCTCAAATTTTCAAATACTTGTTTTAGCATCTGGGTTGACATAATGCATATGAAATAATTTTTTAAGCTACAAAGCCCTATGAAAAAGTAAGCCCAATAATAATACATTACTTATCTAAAATGATGAATAATGAAACTTTTGAACGCTGTTTTCCTTCCTGGGCCTAAGGATTTAAATACTGCCACAGATCAAAATGTGTATATGGATCATAGTAAATTAGAGCCTGACAGTGACTCCCGGTAACTTTAACAAGCCTTCATTTTGAAGAGCTTTTTGAAAGGCCAAATCTGTGTTATGAACGGTTTTCATGATAACCATCTACAAAGTTACATTTCTCATTTCACCATCCACTTCTAACTTAATCTGTTAGGGCTTATCTATCTCTTAGGGTGTAATAAAAATATTGATTCATATTTGCCTTTGTGTAATAGTTTCTATGTTAAGCAAAGTAAAACAACCAGGAGAGTTCACCTAGATAGACTATTTTTGTTGGAAAATCCTGGCTAGGAGCCAATAAGCAGTTTCTTCATTCTCAACATTTCATTTGATCTCATCAATAACATAAAATAGCTGCATATCTTGCACAGAACTTTCTCATAAAGTATCTTATTTAGTTCTCAATAATTCGGGCATACATTAATATTATTTGCATTTCGAAGCTAAAAGAAGTGAGCTTTAGAGATTTCAGGTGACTTACCAGGTAGCAGTAGATCGGAGCTGGGAGCTGAATACTGACTGTGTGTTAGGAGGATAGACTTAGAATCAGGCCCCTCCCCTGCCAAGCCCTGAATCCTTGGACAAGTCATTTCATCTGAGAAAGCCTCCACTTCCTTCGTCTGTAAAATGTGTGTAATATTAATATCTCCTTCACTGAATTATTGTGAAAATTAAATGAGATATGAATGTAAAGCATGCATTATAATGCCTGACATAGTAAGTTAAGTATGCCCATGGTGCATGGGCTATGACATAATAGTAATGGCTATTACTATTATTCCTGTGATTATGCTCAAGTTAATAGTTTGTGGCCATACTAATCATAACATTCAGAGTAATATGATCCAAGGCTAATGGTGTATTTTTCACCTTCATTTGAAATTATTTTTCCTTTGGTGGGTTTTACATTTGCTTTACTTTGGATCGAATCTAGTCTTTGTTGTAATAATTTGCATAAATGTAGAATTTATAAAGCCAATAAAATAGCTGATTAGGAATATGACCTTGTAATATTATAAACCATACTTTACATACTTTTTTCTTATAGGTATCAATAAATGATATGCCGATTTCTTGATAAATTTTAATAATGCATTTTTGGTCTATACCTAAGTCTAAGAAAATTAATTTTCCCTTTATTCATGTAATTTTAAGTTAGACATTCTTATGTTATAAAGCATATTAACTTTATAAATATTTTATACATTGTGTTATAAAATATTCTCACTTGAATGCATGTTAAAAATTGAATTAAAGTGGAATTAGTTATATATTACTAGTTACTTATAAACCAGGTACTTAAATCTGCATTTATTATAGCGGCACCTAGGTATCATTATAATTACAGTATCTAAAAGGTAATAAATTATACTAAAAATGATGTTGACAGTTTGTAACATGGGTAGTGTTTAAACTTGTGCATATTTAATAGGAGTGTGCCGACAAGTATGATTAATATAATGAATTGTTGAGAGCTGCTTACTGAAAATTTGGAGTCTATGGGAAAGTTAATATTTCAAACATCCATGTCTGTTAGAGCAGTAATTATATGTAATAACTACGCGTGCATTGTTAGCTAATAGAGATAATGAAGGAGGATTAGCTCAGCCAGTTCAGATCGATAGAACTTGTTCTGATGACACATACAATGTTGAGCATTCAGCTCATACTGTGTTTCTTTGCCAGAAGAGATTCAGAACCCTAATGATTCATTTGTATCTTAAAGTCAAAGATAATTGCACTAGAAAAAAATGGCCATATTGTAATTTATCTTGATTAATATGTGTCTATTCATGGCTAGTTTTTAGTCTTGATTATTTAGGACATGGATTCCTAAATAATGTTGTTTTTTGAAAAAGAAATTCTTTAAATCTTTCAAGGGCTTGAAATGTTTAGAATGTGCTAAAATTGTTAGAGAACTGGGTAGTGCTGGTGGTACTCGGAATGGCAGGAGATTATAGATGAGTACCTTCTGTGAGCACATGTTATCGCAGAAGGCTTTGCGGAGGGCCTGGCATTAGAGCTACTACGCAGTTTATAGAGAGTAGATGAGAAATAGTTCCTGTCCTCCAAGAACTTATAGTCTTAATGACAGTGGTCAGCATGATATATAAGTATGGGTGATTTAAATTATATTCAGTGGCACAAAATTAAATTTGGCATCTTTAATCAAACATTCTAGTTGTTTAGGGGAGCCATGGTTAATTGAGGAACATAAAGAGATTGATAATGGAGAGTCTCTTCTTATGAGCCCCACTGCTTATTAGGATATTTGAGTACAGTTGTGACCACCTATAGACCACTTATGGAGTAACCTACCCAGTTTCACCTTCTTGCAGAATGAAAACCAAATACCACTGTCTTTAGCACAATGCCTTTTTTTAAAAAATTACTTTTATTAATTTGTTTTTGTTACAGATGTTTCTCCTTTTTTCCCCATTGATACCCTCCTCCCCATCTCCCCTACCCCATCCCCAGCTTTGTTGTCTATGTCCATTGGTTATGCATACATACACATAAGTTTTGTGGTTTATCTCTTCCCCCACAACACCCCCTCTTCTGGGGTTTGTCAGTTTGTACCCTACCTCTATGTTTCTGGGTCAGTTTTGTTCATCAGTTTGTTTAGTTCATTATATTTCACAAATAAGTGAGAGCATGTGATATTTGACTTTCTGTGCTTGGCTTGTTTCGCTTAGCATAATACTCTCCAGGTCCCTCCATATCATCTCAAATGATAAGAGATCTTTCTTACAGCTGTATAGTATTCCATTGTGTACATGTACCACAGCTTTTTTTTATCCATTCATCTACTGATGGACACTTGGGTTGTTTCCAGATCTTAGCTATTGTAAATAGTGCTGCTATGAACATAGGGGTACATATATTCTTTCTGATTGGTGTTTCAGGCTTCTTAGGATATTCCTAGAAGTGGGATCACTGGGTCAAATGGAAATTGAATGTTTAATTTTTGAGGTAACACCATATTGTTTTCCATAGTGGCTGCATCAGTCTGCATTCCCACCAGCAGTGTACTAGAGTCCCCTTTTCTCCACACCCTCACCAACTAAAATGCCCATACTAGTCAAAGCAATCTATAGATTCAATGCAATCCCCATCAAAATACCAATGATATATTTCACAGAACTAGAACAAACACTCCAAAAGTTTATATGGAACCAAAAAAGACCCCGAATAGCTACAGCAATCTTGAAAAAAAAAGAACAAAGTAGGAGGGATCACATTACCAGATTTCAGGTTATACTAAAATGCCACTATAATCTAAACAGCAGGTACTGGCACAAGAACAGACAGATAGATCAATGGAACAAACAGAGAACCCAGAAATTGACCCAAGACAATATGCTCAATTAATATTTGACAAAGGTGGCAAGAGCATACAGTGGAGTCAAGATAGCCTCTTTAGTAAATGAATGGTATTGGGAAAATTGGATAGCTACTTGCAAAAAAATGAAGTTAGACCACCAACTTACACCATACACAAGAATAAACTCAAAATGGATAAAAGACTTAAATGTAACTTGTTAGTCCATAGAAATTCTAGAAGAAAATGTATGCAACAAAATTTCAGACATCATATGCAGCAGAATTTTTGCTGATACAACACCTATGGCAAGAGAAACAAAGGAAAAAATGAACACATGGGACTACATCAAACTTAAAAGCTTCTGTACAGCAAAAGAAACAATTATCAAAATGGAAAGGGATCCCACCATATGGGAGAGCATAATTACCAACGATGCATCAGATAAGGGATTAATTTCCAAAATATATGGAGTACTTATACAGCTCAACAAAAGGAAGACAAAGAACCCAATTAAAAAATGGACAGAGCCCTGGCCGGTTTGGCTCAGCGCTTAGAGCGTCGGCCTGCGGTCCTGAGAGACCCGGGTTCAGTTCTCGCTAAGGGCGCGTACCTCGGCTGCAGTTTGTCCCCGGCCCTGGTCGGTTGTGCGGGTGGCAGCCACTCGATGTGTTCCTTTCACATCAATGTTTCTCTCTCTCTCTCTTCCTCTCTCTCCCTCCCACTCTACCTGAACAAAAAATGGAAAAATGTCCTTGGGTGAGGATAAAAAAATAAATAAATAAATAAAAAATGGGCAGAGGACTTAAATAGACACCGCTCCAAACAGAACATACAAATGGCCAAGAGACATAGGAAAAATGCTCAACGTCACTAATCATCAGAGAGATGCAAATTAAAACAACTATGAGGTATCACCTCACACCTGTCAGAATGGCCGCCATCAACAAATCATCTAGCCCAATGTCTTTATCTTTACATTTACTGTGAGGAAGCAAGAGAGTTCTGCAATTTCTCTAAAACAGTTTTTCCCCTTCAGATAACAAAGTGCCATGATGACCAAAACAT